ATGCGGCCTCCCCGGGGGGGGGGGGGGGGGGGGGTCACAATTTGCATCACCAAGAGGAGGAGGTTTTATTGTCTCTCTTTCACATCCCTGCCATTACCACCACTTGTGGCCACTGTCATTATTTACATATTGCAGTTCCCAGGGATTCAATGATCCTTAGGAACATTGGCAGCAGGGGAGCGGCAGATGCAGGCGGCCGGAATGTAGATGGAAATGGTTACTATATGGTGGTCTTTATACAATATTTATATCATTCAGACATTAATGGGGTTGATTTACTAAAGGTAAATGAGCTGTTCACTTTGCAAGGGAATTTTCCCTTAGCTGTGTGCAGGGGTGGACAAATGAATGTGGATTCCAGGAGAAAGCAGGTTTCCTTTTAGGAGCCGGCTCCATTGGGTTTTGACTGCTATCACATGGGGGGCTTGCAAGCCCCCCCCCATGTGATAGCAGATGGTGGTGACAGGTACTCCATCACTGAGGTAATACGGATCATTTTCTGTGTATCTTTTGCAAAGTTTCTTGCCAGGAGTTTGAGTTACCACACTGTTTCTGCCTCTACACCATGTCTGAGGTGAGCTCTGGGTGAAGTATGAGCTATCTGGCTGATTTTCTTTTTAATGTTTCACAGCTAATAGGCAGCAGGCAGGACAGGTAGATCTAATCGGAGGATGTCATTTTAGGTCTGCTTTAAATACCCCACATTTCTTCTTAAAGAGTATCTATGACCAAAAACTAATAATAAATCTGTATTCCTATGTGGAACTTCCAGAAGTTCTCCCCCACTCCTAATAACCATATCCATCTAGAAGTTTGTTAACTTACTTATTGAAGATGCCCATAGGATGCCCTTCCTCAATGCACTGACACCATTTCACCTAGTCCTGTGAATATGCACTTCCCGGTGTCACCGCTGTAACTAAGCCTTCCGTCTGAACTTCCCACAATGCAACACCATCATTGCTGGCTGGAAGCAATGCATGATGGGCTATGTACTCTTTAGAAATGGAGATTACATCACATCAAGCAGCAGGGAAAGAGATGCAAAGCACGCTGGGAATCCGGGAAGATGGTGAAAGTGATGGGCAGACGGAAGCAGCGCTCACTACATAGAAGGGGTTTTTTCAAGTAAGCTTTGATTGTATTATCAGAAACACCTCCAGTATGTATTCCTATTACAATGCTGGTGTTATAATAGGAGAGTGTATGCTGGGACTTTACAACTCCTTTAAACAAGATTGTAATGCTTACTATAGAGATCCGTCTCATCCAGGATTTCAGATTTGATGATCTCTTCAATAATATCCTCCAGGGTTACAATGCCCATCACTTCATAAAACGGGTCTCCTTCCCCCTCATTGTTGACCCGTTGCACTATTGCCAAATGTGATTTTCCTGGAACAAATTAAACAAAAGGCAGAATATGAGTAAAATGTAACGACAACAATTATAGTACGGTGGGGGGGGGGTGTACAAAGAGAAGGACTCTCAAACAAAGGTGGAAAAATGGCTTTTCAGATGAGAGGGATCGGGGGAGGGAGGATACACTGGGGTATTCTGAACAGGGATCAGTAAGCAGGAATTAAGGACACTGAACAGAATAGGGCCAACAGTAAAGACACCGAGCCAACTATACTATTGTCAATGTGCCACATGTGGATGATGTGGCACATCATCCCCACAAACCTGAGCTCATCCGAACCATGAAGGTAGCTGTCAGTGCTGGCCCAATCAGCTGCGGCCTGGGCATTCCCTTCCCTCCATATAAACAAATGGGCCAGATGCTGGTGACATCATTGACCTTATATGGCTACATGACCATACTTGGTCAATGACACTGTCCTAATATGGAAGTTCCAGGATTATAATTGGTTGCTCGCGATGACCTGCTTATGTAAAATCAATTTTTATTGAAGCTCAACAGTGATGCACAAGGACTGTGCATCACTGTTGAGCTTCAATAAAGTTGATTGTACAGTCCTACCTGCAAACAGGGCAGTCTGGAGGTAGGACACCCCCACACTGCCCTGTTTGCAGGTAGGACTGTGCAGCACAGTCGAGCCTCAATAAAGTTGATTTTACATAGTGACGTCATGGTGAGTGGATAATTGTGATCCTGAAACTTCCATGCTTTGGAGTGTGGTCGTGCTACAAGCATCAGACAGCATGTGCCGGGGAGTCGGATGGAAAGCAGGATGACCCACAGAGCAGTCTGCTGATCCTGAACATGGAGGGGCACAGAGGACGGGGCTGCACAGGACGGCATGGAGCAGGGACTGAGGATGAGGAACACAGACTAGAGAATGGAGGGCAGAGAAGGAGGGAGGTGGAGGAGGAAGCGGAATATCTCACAGAACAGGATACTGATACACAGGATGTGGCAGAGGATGAGATACTGAATCAGGGAGGGAATGCTGACAGGACACATAGTGCAAGATGCTGATGATGGATCGGGAACGGAGGGATGATGATGGATCCTATGGTCAGTGATGCTGATGGCGGTTTGGTCACTGATGCTGATGAAGGATCAGGCAGGAAGGGATGATGATGATGATGGATCTTGCAGGGAGTGATGATGATGGATCAGTCAGTGATGTATCAGGCAGGAAGGGATGATGATGATGGATCAGTCAGTGATGTATCAGGCAGGAAGGGATGATGATGATGGATCAGTCAGTGATGTATCAGGCAGGAAGGGATGATGATGATGGATCAGTCAGTGATGTATCAGGCAGGAAGGGATGATGATGGATCATGCAGTGATGGTGATGTATCAGGCATAGAGGAATGATGATGATCAAACAAGGAGTGATGTTGATGGATCAGACATGGAGTGATGCTGATGGATCGGCCACATACAATCAGTCCCGCCCCCTAGGATCTGGCCTCACCCTTCTTGAACTCCTCCAGCACAGCGTCCAGGTGGGTGTCGTTGAAGACGCAGTGCAGCGGGCGGTGGTAGAAGCGGGTGATGGTCTGCAGGGGGGTGCAGTCATCGGGGTCCACGAAGGCCAGGTCCTTGACGAAGAGGATGTCCACGATGTTGGCGCGGAGATCGCCCTCGAAGACGGGGATCCGGGTGTATCCGCTGCGCAGGATCTCGGAGACGGTGGCAAAGTCGAGCACGGCGTCGGAGCGGAGCATGAAGCAATCCCCCAGCGGGGTCATCACGTCCTCCACGGCCTTGGTGCGGAGCTCCAGGGCCCCCTGGATGATGTTCAGCTCCTCCTTCACCAGGTCGTTGTAGGGATCGGCCGCCCGCAGCATCTCCAGCAGCTTCTCCCGGGTGTAGAAGGTGCTGATCTCCTGGCACAGCGCCCAGTCCAGAAGGCGGCTGAGCGGGAAGGACAGCGGGAAGGTGAGGGCCATCAGCACGCGGGTGAGGCAGACGGAGCGGGAGGTGAGATGAGCAGCAGGAGGACAGCAGTGGTGGTGGTAGTGATGATGGTGTCGCGCTGCCTGTCCGCAGTCTTCGCCATCCTGGTGTGCCTGGCCGGCCTCTGACAGGGGGGAGGAGCCTACAGGCCAGCCTCTAGGAGGAACCAGAGTCCGGCCTTTGACTAGTGAGGTAAAAGCACAAGCAGGATTTTGCCGGGAGTGGGAGGAGCTAAAGCCGGCATCTGACAGGAGGAGGAGCCACAGTCCGGCTTCTCACAGGAGGACCCACAGGCCACCCGCTGACAAGGGGGAGGAGCCTACACCTTTCAAGATCTGATTGCGCACTGCACAGTGTCACGTGATTTTTTAATAACAAACAAAAAGGTAAACATTGCCATGCACAGTAGTCTGCCATCATGAGTTCAGTGCTGGATTGCTGGTGTGACCAGACCATGGTAGAGCTAACAGACCAAAACATGACAAACAAAAGTTCCTTGTTAAGGTTTACATACACTTTATGGCAGCAGTGGGGCCCTGTAAGCAGGCTCCAGGTTGCTATGGCAACCTGGAGTCTGCTTCCAGGTGTAGCGCCATCTGTCACAGTGGAAGTGATTGGGGATCAGCTGCTTTGGGGTAGAGAGGTGACACTAGGGGTTCGACAGACCTAATGCCTCCTTAAAGAGAACCTGTCACCAATAATGTGCTATCACATGGGGTTTGTAAGCTCGCTATGTGATAGCAATAAAGTTAAGTATAAAAAAAGTCCCCTGCCCCCTAAGTACACACACATATGAACGCCGATATATTGCAGCTTACCAGTCCTTAGATGCATTACATCCTGGTGATCCTGCCAGCAACACATTTCCTGTACCAGGGTGACAAAGCTCACCATACTGTACCTATGGAGGAACTCTATAATAGGGCTACGGAACACCCGTTTAGTTATCATAAAATACACTGTATTGCCAAAAGTATTGGGACGCCGGCCTCTACAAGCACATGAACTTTAATGGCATCCATGTCTTAGTCCGTAGGGTTCAATATTGAGTTGGCCCTCTGCAGCTATAACAGCTTCAGCTCTTCTGGGAAGGCGCCCACAAGGTTTAGGAGTGTGTCTATGGGAATGTTTGACCATTCTTCCAGAAGCGCTTTGTGACGTCAGGTACTGATGTTGGACGAGAAGGCCGGGCTCACAGTCTACGCTCTAATTCATCCCAAAGGTGTTCTGTTGGATCAAATGTTTGTAGAAGCGTCTGCATGCCGAGGTGCGTGATTTTATACCCCCGTGGCCATGGAGGTGATTGGAACACCTGAATCCAATGATCTGGAGGGGTGTGCCAATACTTTTTGTAATATTGTGTATATACACACACAGATTTATATTTATTTTGTTTATCAGTATGTTACACACAAGCCTTAGTCCCGGTTCATACCTTCCCATTCCATGAACGCATGCCAAACATGCATCATTTTGACATGTCAAAAACGTGCATTGTGTTGCAGTGCCATTACTTGGCACCCCAGACGTGGCCGGGAAAGCTTGTGTTGTTTTCCCCACAGGTGGACACATTAAAATGTGAATAAATGAGCAGGGAAAGAAAAGCGGCACGTCAGTAGCAGAATCTGCGACATGAGCTTCTTTCTGGTGTTTGTCGCACATGCGGCACTCATTAAATCAATAGGCGGCATGCAGCAAAGGCAGAGAAAAATGCACAAGAACGCAACGTGCGTTCCCGGTACGCTGAGGCATGAACGAGGCCTTATTAAAGTTTATAACACCAGCAGCAGTTCCTTCTTTTCACCATCAGGTGGCAGACTTGTCACAGACTTCCACTGAACACAAGGAAAACAATTCTGTCCTGTTACCGGAATTCTATTTCCAATATGAGTGTTTGCGTTGTGGAAACATGTTCACATTTCAGTTTGTCAAATTTGAAATTTCCTCTCACTTCCCGTCATGTCTCTGGAACAGGAAGTGAAGCGAAATCCTGCCAATGGGACACAGGGAAAAAAAACAACAACAGGTCTCTTTACCATTCCCTAACTACTCAAACCTAAAAAAAGAAAGTTTTGGCTTTGCATACAGTTCAAATCATTATTATTTAGTACTGGAAATTCTGACAAATGTGTGTGATGACTGGACCCAAAATCCAAACCTTCAACATTCTTCCTGCCATTAAAGCTGAACCGCGAGCACACAGATTAACCGCTTCTGGACCGCCCGCCGTCAACATTCATCCTGCCCTGAAGCGGTTACACCAAGCTTGTGCATCCGTGTTCTTGGTATCATTTTAAACAGCAGGCGATTGCTGTTTAGATACAAGCGATCTGGCGGCTATACAGCCACGGGATCGCTTGTACGCTGCGGTGGAATGCATGCCACTGCCAGCTTCCCCAGGCTCCGTTGTCCCCTGTGCGGGCCCGGGACCAGCACCGCGGGTCTCCCCTAACAGACCAGAGGAAGATCAGCAAGCTTCTAGCTTCTTCTTCTTGGCAGCAGAAACCCGGACACAAGATGTCAGGCAGACAGGAGCAACCAAAATTAAGATAGGGGCTACTGGCACCCCACTAAAAATAGTCTCAGCTGTGATATTTACAGATTAATGGGTGGCGCTATTTACATATGAATAAGCCACAACTCATTCTGCCCTAAAAATGTCCGTGCGTTGCTACAGTGTTCGGTTTTCGCTTGAAGAAAAGATGGCAACCCTAGATCTCTCCTTCGATCACTGGACCCGGAAGTGATGTGTATTACACCACTTCCGGCGTCACTGGGCACATTCTCCGGCTCTTAAGATGTGGACAAAACTCCTATTTTGTCCACATCCTAATGAAACAATGATTTCCCCTCTCTATAATGAAAACCTCCCAGTCTCTCTATACATTTCCTACCTTCAGGAGCAGTAATACTTTGTCCAGCTCAGTTGTCTGCATCTTTTCATACATATGATACCAAACTGCCCCCCGAGGCAACTCGACCAAAGCATGTCAGATTAAAAGAAAGAAGATCCTTTACTCCTCAGTACTCTGTACTTCATCATCCAGGAGGACCAGGGATGGTATTTATTTCCACTCTTCCCCAGCCTATGCTTGGCTCTCGCAAGCTCCTCGCCTCTTGTCTTGCGTTGTGCTGTATGTGCGTAATATTCTTTCATTTTGTATATAATGGCCGGCTTTTTACTTCTTTTGATCAGAAAGCCAACGTTCGCTGGAAGCTGGAATAAATTTTTTTAGTTTAAAAATACATTTGTCGCATATAAAGATCAACCTCTGAAACATTATGTCTACCCTGACACCTCATGCGTGGAGCCTGAAATAATTAAAATGGTGGAAAAAAATAATATTTCAAACTAATCTCCTGATTGGCATGATTATTGATGAAAAAAAGGCTGCTTATCAATTTGCACCTAATCTCTACTGGAGATATTACAATGAGAGACACGTTTTACTAATTAAGTATATTGGTTATATGTGATTTTTTAAATATTTATCACTATATTATTCACGTAATATGATTATTGATTAGCGCAGTGCATCTGTTTGATCTAATTTATTGATACTATTAGCACAGCAGTTTTTCATCTTTTATATTTTATATTTATCACTTTGAGACAGTTTCCATAGCACAGAATTTTTTATATTCATCAAAATGTGAAATAAGCTTGTACAGTATATTACACTTATAGAAAATTGCAGAAGAAGATTTAAATAACAAACTCTTTTTTTTTGCACACGATAAATAATGCAAATATGACCCTGCATTATACTGTGTTGTTCTGGTATTTTTTCTGCACTTTATTTTGGGATGGATTCTTTTAAATTTACATTTTTTTGTTCTTCCCTTCAGTAGCCAACATCTCGTGTAGCCCCTGTCGTTTTTCTAAGGCTGTGGCATGCACAAGTTCCCGTAAAAATTCCATGTAACTTGGCAAGTCTGTGAATGTACTTATGTATTATAGTTTAGTGAATTTTAGTAACATAGCCACCTCATTTTATTTTTTTATTACTGTATATTGATTATTAGTTGATACATATTAGAATTATTATTATGGTATTGCCCAGTTTATTAGAAACTGACTGTTTACTTAGAAGTTAGTCCCTTTATGCTTTAATCCCTTCAATACTTTATTGATTCACCCCCCAATATGGCACACAATGTTGTTGATCTTAATGTTCATTTAAAAGTGTGTACAACATGCACAAGACTCCTTCTATTTGTTCTGGGAGCTCTAAACTAAGATGGGGATGAAAAAATAAATAACTATGGTCTGTCTGGCCATTGGGGATTATTAAAAATATTTGCACAGGTCCTCTATATAGATTAATTAAATCTGCATACTAAGATACATACAATTTATTAAATATATATATAGAAAAACACATTTAAAATGACATAATAAGCTATTTTACACTCCCATGTGTAAAATAGCTTCTTATGATTTTATTTATCATAGGAAAAGGTAAATCTAATAAGTAATGTGTTGGGGATTATTCCTGATATTGAAGACATTTTCTATTTTCTTTGCCCCAAAAATTTGGATTAAAAAAAAAAAAGTATCCATCTATAAATTCTAACTCTAGATACATGTATGTACACAAACTGGAGGTCCCAGAGGATTTATCAATAGTGAACAACAAAATATTAAAGTGTATTTCCACTTTTGCAGACACATTTTTAGAAAACCCCTCTTTATGTTTGATATGTGTTCCCATTTACACAGCATACTGAAAATTATTTTTCCAAATATATTTCTTACCTTTTTAGATTTTTTTGGGTGAAGGTCCTTGTGCAGATTCCAAGATTTAAAGGAGAACTATGAGGTGAGTGCTTTTCACTCACCTCATAGTTCTAGCCGACCTGTGACAATGAGACTTTCACAGGTCGGCTCAGTAGATCGGGAGGTGAGCGAACACATACCGGGTTCGCTCGCCTCTCGATCCTGTCACGGCTCTCTGCCGTGACAGGGGGAGGGGATGGATTCCCCTCTCCCCGTTCCGATCTGCCAGCGCTGACTGGCGG